TATTAACAGATATACTAACCGTAACGACGAATTATGCAAGCGCTAAATGATTCGATTAAATGTTGTAATTTAAAAAAATTACATCTGAAACACTGTGTTCATAATGGAACACGCAGCAATTTGATCGCAAAATGCATTTCCTTTCTCCATCGTTCGAGAAAGTGACATAATCGTCGGTTACATACTTCTCCCTCGTTTCATGGTTATCTCGAAATGTCAACAATTGAAAAATGATCATAATTAATCGTACATTGTTCTGTGTAGCGCAAACGGGAGGGCGCCAGTATCCAGCAAGCCACCCCTGCCCCCGCAGCCGCCTCGCGTCGGGGCGCTGGGTTCGAGATCGTCGACGGGTGCGTCGGCGGCGTCGTGTTCGTCGCGCCGACGCGCGGCCACGGACCTTGGAAATCCGGCGGCCATCGAGATGGCGAAAGCCCGCACGATGCAGGCCGCCCAGGAGCGCCCGGTCGGCCTGCTCGAGACCGACCTCGACGAGGCCGTCCCGTCGACGACGACGACGACGAGCGTCGCCGCCACCGCGAACTCCGCCGCTACCGCCGGCAAGAAGACCAGGAGTCTGCTCAACTTGAATCACACCTCGACTGCTCCTAGGCCCAGGCCGGAGCACGCCCTCCACGTTCCCCAGTCGCCCGTCACCGCTTCCCACAGGAGTCCCCGCGACCACGACGCCGCCTCCACCATCAACCAACGGCCACACAAATCCATGGAGTTCCTCCTCGACAAGGAGAACCTGCATTTCGTCAAGGTAAGTATTCCGTTCCACTGGTCCACCGTTTATCTTTGTTTCGAATAATTAATTCTCAAGAATGCAATTAGCACCGTGACATCAAATTATTTTGATTTTATGGCAGAGTCAAGAGAACTTTCTTTCCATCCTTTGCACGAATTCGCGTCATTAGTTATTTCTATCACCTTCGTTTCGATGATCTAGGTAACATCATTGTCTCAGTTTCATGGTAGGTTCGAAGTGAACACGTATTCACCACCCTTGGTCATCCCTATCAGCAGTTTTCCTTAGAGACGTTGAATAAGTCTATACGATAGTCATCCATTTTTGTTTAACACTACTGCGATTTGAAGTTTATTGTACGAGTATGAAAAGCCAATTTTTGAGTGGAGTAGGACTTAGTTGATCTTGCGGTTGGGGCAAGTATCACGGAGTTTATTAAACGTGAAGTATGAGTTAGGGTTGGTTGTGTCAAGTCTGATGGACAAAATCAACGCTGGAGGGGCTTGGTGCTTAGTGCTAATTGTCCCCTAAATGCTCGAATTGGTAGCATATGGAAACGTGAGTAGCGTGTAGAAGTGTCTTTTCAATTTATTCTTTTTATAATTTTGTAATACATCCGCAAAATTGAGATAGTATTTGGAGATATTTCAGACTAAATTGTCGACGTTTTTTAAATGTTTATTTGTGGTTAAAACAAAAATTACGAAGTACAATTGCTGCGGCGCGTGCAACGTTTTCCATGGTTTATTTTTATCAAAGTTGTTAATTGCTGTTGTACCTGGATTAACTTGTTAATTTAATTAATGACAGTCCCTGTTGGCACTGCCGCGATAAATTCCTGTGAGACATGTCTATATTATTATCAATAAGTAACATTGATAAACAGTTCGCGAAACAGCTTAACTCGCGTGTGATATCCGATCGTGGAATTGTGGAGATAAAGATCTTAGAAGAATTTTCGTAGTTATCAAATAATCTGTCTTCCTTATCTGAAACTCGTGTAATCAGTTACTCGCTTCCTGCATTTTCGACATTCACGTTTGTTTATGGAAATTTCTATTTTAGAAACATTCGTCGAGTTTTGATCTCTGTTCTCGTCTCGTGATTTATTTAAATATTATAACGCGTTACTTCAGTATGTACTTACATTTGCATCGCAATGTAATGTAGCCTTTCGCCTTTGACATTTCGTCGATTAAGTGGTCTGAAGTTCCACCGATTTCCGTATCAAGTCTACACTTCAAAACAACCGATACAACAAGATTCTCGATATCTGCGAGAAGTGTTTCTCCCATAGCGCATAAGTTTGAAATTGAATAGAAATACTTTGAATGCTTATTGTCGGCATCGTTCGTGAATGTGTACGTGCTTGTCCATAAAATTTTTGCAAATGCTATTTTCAAGTCTTAAAGAAGTCAATTTCACAAGGAATTAATTTTCTTTCATTCATGCTGCCTATAATAATACATAGAATATTACTCATGCATGACAGTATCTATCAACAGACTTTTAATTAATTCCCGATTTTCACCACACCTTCGGGCTTTTGAAATTTTCATATGCAGCTGGCGGGGAAAAGCAATTTAGATCATTGCAGTCGCAGCGATAAAAATTGAATTTTATGCAACAGTGACAGCATGCACGGTGATTTTAATTGGTAGGATCAGTTGAATCTCGTGTTAGGCTTGAACCAGTAGTGGAAATGACATCGAGAATCGATTGTTGTTAATCGTGAGCGGGTTTAAATTTAAATAGCAGATATTGTACCTTGTCATTAATTTGAGAAAAGAAGTTACACTTAAAATTAAAATAACTTCGTGTGAGTCGGTTAAGGGGTCAGTGTAAGCATTCACTTTTGAATGGTTGTACGACAGAAAAACCATTAATCTATTAAATTATCTGAAAAAGATTCTCTTCGTTAGAAAAAAATTCTCAAACATATGTAATTTCTCAGATCGGCGCAGTTAAAAGACGTATCGCATTCCGTTCACTATCGGTATCCCGCGAAAGAGGAGCGATATCGAATGTAAACAGGGTCACATATGTGTATACGAGGTCCTTATATAATTTATCGTCGACGGTTTTTAAATTACTTAAGAATCCAACTCCTAAAGCAACCACCGACGGATAATCGCAAGATGCACAACATTCGCCGGCTACTGCCTGCACGCGGAGCGGAATTTCACATGGTTTACTGAACGACAATAAAAGCACCAATTTCTCTTATCGACTGGCCAGAACAGAGAGGAACTTTCACAATCTCGACAGTTATCTGCGACTTTCAACCGACGTATCGAGCATACATCAGCATTACGGTCGTGAAACGCAGCCCGTCCTATCGTGTACCTTTCGACGCCTTTTCCCTCACTCTTTGTGCGAACAGATTTATTCGAGTTGTCTAAATTATTCTGAAATCCACGCTAGTGTTCATAACTAAATACGCAATAGATGACACGTAAGGACAAACATCATTTTTGCTCTGTCACTTGTTTGTATCTTAATATCTCGTACAATATAGCTCTATAAAGAATAAAGAAATATACTATAAGAATAGAAAAATATCGATCGGAATTAAAATAACTTTTAAATAACTTTCCGTTTCATTGTGAGTTAGTAGTCAATGACCCGAATGGCGACCTTCCGAAAAATGCGGTTTTTGATGCCGGCGACCCGCATTTCTTTGCCAAGTCCTTCATTGTTAACAACGACGGCCTTGTCAATCATTACCTTCACGGATGTACCGATTTGTTATACGCTTGTTGATCACGAGATCGCATCTACGGGTGCTGTACTTTATCGTCTACTATGGTAACTCGTATCATCGATCGATTGGAAGGTTGCCACGGGTCCGTTGATCTTTGTCACTACTGTCACTAGTTCACCGGGTAACCAAAGATCATAGACCAGTTGCGCAAAGCGTAAACTATAAACAGTTACAAATCATTTTGGTAAATGTAAACTTTCATATGCGAACAGTTTTGAAGAATTTAATTAATTATAATTAGATAAGTGTACATTAAACACATGGATTAATTTATTATTTTAATTAATCTACAAACTGATAAAACCGATAAACAAATCAGAATCATCAAAAGCAAGAATTCGGTGAATTTTAATACAGTAAAAAGTACGCAAAATTTTATTTTATACGAGTAAACGCTATCTAAAAAGCATTATATGCGTCTCAGAATGTGGGAACGCATGAGCACATAAATTATGAATAACGTGTCACGATATCACGTTGAAAGCAGCAGTCACGCTTCGTTATCATTCGTTGTAAATGCACAATGAATGTTCGTTTTATTGAACAGTTTTGAGGTAATACATATCTACGACCTACACGACTGCATCTTTACGAATACTTGCACATGGACTCATACTGCGAGTACAATGTGATCATTCAACTCGTTCTTTAAAATGAGTAAGTGGGAGAGGAAGGGGGAAGAACAAAAATAAGGGTTACATTTATCGATTGACCCGTCGCCTTGAAAATCTGTAGGAGCGACGGATTAACCGGCTGCGACACGAAACTTCCATTAACGCAACCTTGTTGCCTGATCGTGGCACTCTAAGTACGCACCTGACGCGCTTCTAGGAGTCCCGTTCCAGTCGATGTACATACATACGTATACCATGGAGATCTGATAAATGGTGGAAAATGTAAATTCAACGTAGCGACGCGACGTCGCATGCTGACGCAAAATTGCGATTGTTTGCTCGAACCTTCGATTCTCAAAATTGCGAATCGAATACAGGTCGCAGCTGCATATATAATATGTTTTCTCCGAATCGATCGAGATACCATTGTTCTGTTTGCTGTTGCAGCTGGCACTGCTGTGCTTAATTAGAAATTTGATTGCATCGTTTAGAGGATTGTTATTCGTATTTGAATGAGAGAATTTTATTGTACGGGTTTAAAGGTCTGCGTGAACAGTTCGGAAGATAATAGGTATATTAAACGTGGGGACCAATTCGGTACAGCACATGAATATTCAAAGGTGCTGTTTCTTTTCCTGAAGGCTTCCAACTCTTTTCCTCGCGATAGGACCTCGTAGGGTCGCAATCTATGTAGGCCATACGGTCCAACCGCAATCGGAAGCCCGTATGTCGAGTGGTAACCGGCGAAGCCAGTGGTATCACCTTCGCAGCCAAGGTCTTGCCTCCCTCCCATTATCAGTATCGCTGTTTGCCACTTGACATCGCGTACGAACTTCAATATCCCTTCAGTATCGCATTAGTTCACCGATTAGCTAGTACGTGAAACGTTAGGCAAAACAGTACGTTGTAATTGTATTCGATTTAAAATTGTTGAATAATTTTTGTGCGACTGTTACGATTTTTAAGATCGTGTGAAAGAATTCAACAATCAGTAGCAAAGGAAAAAAGCGAGAAGGAGCCGTGTCGACGCTATTGATCGTTATTAGGCTTTTATTAGACGGAAGTATTGTCGATAGCTCCCCGCAGAAGGGTACATCTTCACGGGGGGTCGTGTTAACTTAAGTGAAAATAACACCATGAGGTCTGACAGGGGCTGACCACCTCCTTTGCTTTAATTCTCCACGACCATCGGTCAGCGAGTCTGATCCCGTTGCTCGGTGCTGCAGGGTGTTTTCACATTTTCTTCAGTTTCGTTCCACGATTATGGACATTTGTGAATGAAAATTACACAATTTACATAAAAATAAATGAAACGCGTGTGACTGTTCTGGATTTTGTACAACACATGATTAAATATTTTTGAGATAATATTTTTATACAATACACAGTGAATGAAAATTTATTGATGAAATTCTGTGAGAGTTGGCATATTCAATGCCGAAACTTGTTCGAAAATTATCAAGCAATCGCTGCCGGAATGCAGAACAAGGTCTACAAATTCTAAGTTCCGAGGTTTGATAACGGGCTGATCGAAGGAAGTCAAATGGCAGACCGGACGTTGGTACATTGTATGGATAATAGCATCCTGCAGATAACAACGAGTTCCGTAATGCGTAAATATCGTACAGAATATGGACCAATGACTCTCGCTAGATCTTTTTTTATTGACATTTGACAAAGTATGGTGAAGACTTTATAAAGTGCACTTTTAAAGCGTTTTATATTCGATAATCAACAATTACATATATACAACTTTTGATTACTCACGTAATAAGGAATTAAATAAAATTAAAATGGAGGCTCGTGAAAAATCAACCGAATGGGCCCTGCTATTCCCATTGAAAGCAGGCCTCTTCGCCATGAAGTCTTCCTTGTCGTCGAAAAGTGTGAACCGCGAAAAAGAGCGAATAGCCAGGAAGAATCAGTTATTAAAACCACGAATTCGTCGTGGATCCTCTTTATCGGACCTTGACAAACTTCAGAACAAGCAAATGTTACCGGACGTGGTTAGATCCACAGAAAAGTGTTCAGAATCGCTGCCACACTCACCCGCGTTATCGAGAACAAACCTACAATTGGGAAATCTGTACGTGAGGGGTAGCATAGGCGATTTGATGAACATGAAGAAGTACGGTGGTTCCACGTGGAGCGTCAGAAGCGAAAGCTTGATCACGAAAGCAGTCCCACTGAGCACGGTTACACCGAGACACAGTCCACCGATCGAAAAAAGCATCGAGGATCTCGAGGATCCCGAGGACGAGATCCAGGAGGATTTCTGTATTCCGGGAAAACCGTTGACATGTGTCCAAAGAACGAAGCGGCTCAGCAAACTCATCAAGAAACACAGACGTGTGATGGTCTTTAGCCCAACGTCCCTCAAGCGAGATATCGTAAGTTTGAAACGAACGCACTAAAACATAGCAAAATATTAAAGTTTCTAAAGAAGTACTTAGGTGTGAATGTTTTGGAAATGTCAATACATAGAATAGACCAGAGCTGGGGAACCTTTTTACCATTAGAGGCAACATTTAAATTAGGCAGTAATAAAGGAGGCCGCTATAATTTCTTGTATTTCACTGTTCGTACTTTTATTTGTTTAAGCATATATATATATTCATCCAGATCTTTAAATTGTAATAAACAACTATATATTTCAATACCACTTCAAATAAAAATAATGTTATTAGAAGTATTTTTAAATAAATTTATTAAATTCTAGAGAAATACAATAGAACAATAATAATATTAAGTTATAAATAACTAACAGCAATAATACGTAAAATAATTTTAAAACCCGGTTGAAACTTTAAGGTAGTGGAATATTTGCATTTGTTTCTTGCTTGAAAGTAATTGAATGCATTAAAATATAAATAACATTTGAAACCATAAAAGGAGGCCGCACGTTCTCCACCTCTGCAATAGAACCTAAAAAGAAGTTCAACTTAATGAAGAAAGTATTTTTTAATTTGTTTCTCTCATTGTGAATGTGCTTAGTAATATTTTTTCGATTCGAACGTTATCGTGAAACTTAAGACATCGGTTTAATAACTTTACTGATCACAATTCAAGGCAGATCGACCAACGTCGATTCCAATAAAATCTCTCTTCTAGAATTGAGCAAACGTTGCGTTCGCATGCGAGTCGTAAATGACAACGACGACGAAAGGAAGCACTTCCATTTCGAATTCATCACTTGGAGAGTCGAGTCTCATTTGCTTCAGAATCCCTTTCACTCGTCCCGATTCTTGAGTTTCATCTTCTCGAGATACGACGCACTCGTGTGGATTATCGGATTGTCTTTAACATCACATCGGACATTCGTCCTAATTAGTTCACCGTGGCACGTCCACGTATCCGTTCGATTATTACACCGCACTGTCTCTGATTGTAAATCAGCGATGCGCGCGTAATTAGACCAGCCTACTATTGCCATTTTTCTGCGAACTTTCTCTAAAACACTTCTCGGTTCGAAACGTCCGAACAACCTTCTTTAATGCGTATCTAATCACAATTTTTCTCTCCCCCAACTATTTCTCTTTCATGCACCTTGTCATTTTTTCCTTCAATTACGGGACTCTAGCCTCTTTCTCATCGCTTTCCCTGTTTCACTTGTGTTTGTAATTTTGCAATATTTTCTTATTCATCTTTCATTTCCTTTTACTTGAAATTGGACGAACGTTGAAGAAATAAATCGACCAGCGTAAAGTCGATCGTGCGTGCGATTCTAATAGATGAGACGATCGTAAAGGGAACTGAATCGAAGAGAACCGGCGCGTTTTTTACTTCATCACACGCAGTTTTCTCGATCGATCGATCGGTTGATGAACAGCATAAACAGAGCGAGAAGAATTTATCATTCTAGCATGAGGCTTCGCAGCCACTTCGGTGGTCCGCGTGTATTTTAAGCGAGGCTTATAATTACGCTGAGCGATGTGGCACGTCGCATCCTCGATTTTTCCCGCGATGAAAGTTTTCACGAAAATCCCACCGTTTGAGTATTGTATTCACGTAACACGATAAAAGAAATAGGACGCGTTGGATGTTAAAAAGATAAAGCGAATCAATTTGAGGCGAACATTTAACCTGTATTTTT